CTACTAGGAGCAAGAACGCTACTAGGGGCTCCTGGCCGTACTACTAGAAGCAAGAACGCTACTAGGGGCTCCTGGCCGTACTACTAGGCTCCTGGCCGTACTACTAGGAGCAAGAACGCTACTGGCGTACCACTAGGAGCAAGAAGGCCGTACTACTAGGAGCAAGAACGCTACTAGGGGCTCCTGGCCGTACTACTAGAAACAAGTAGCTACTAGTAACAAGAAGCTACTAGGGGCTCCTTCACTTTCCCTCTTCTTTGACTCACTTTTGAAGTCGATGTGTTGGAAACAACTGGCTGTGGAGGAGCTTGCTCAATTGAACACGGACGTCTCAAAAGGCCTGGTCTGAACGCCTTGAGAGTCACAAGTTGTGCATGTTTCACAAGGTCACAACATGCTGGAAAGTCTGGAGTCACTTGCGAAGGTGAGTTGGCGGGGGTCGGGCTGTCACATCTACGTGCAGGGACATGGCAAGTCTCGATACGATAATGTTAAGTTGGCCGTTGCGGTCCAGCATCGTTGATGCTAGTGGCATTGATAGGAGAATGAATGTTAAGCTGGCCATTAGGCTTAAGCATCGTTGAGTCTTTGAACCGATGCACTTTTGCAACTGATTGCCGTAGCTTTTGTCTACCCCCGCTAGCCTCAGGTTTTTGGGGTGGGACGAGTTCCTGTTGAAACCTGGACTACGTTATGGGTCATGAGGTGTTCTGTGCACATGGTGAACCTTGTCTTTTTGTTGCGGCTACTCCACGGGTCTGCAATTTATGACTGCCTTCATAGGATTTCAGTCCTTACTATGCCTACACAGGCTGACTGGCTGCATGCTGAATGCTTCAATTATGGTACGAAGCTCAGCCCACAGACCATCAAACAAGCCGATCAATGTGTGTGTTACCGCCTTGTAGAATCCTTTCTTGGTGGATTCTGTTGAGTTGGATCATTCGGATGGCGGGATTCTGCACCAGTTGAGGTCGTCCTGTTGATGTGCTTGAAGCGGACTGGGTAGCTTCCCTAGCATGTGTTGTCGCCACAAGCGTCACAAGTCACTAATGTCATAAGATTCTTTCACCACACGATGAGGTTCGCATGGAGGATGGCCAGCATTTGAACGACTCCTTGATTGACCTCTTCGTGGCTATGCTAGTGTCTCCTCTGAACGGCAGGTTTTGAACGCATCAGCGTGGGCTGTTTGAAGCAACGGTTGGAGGAAAGTGCTCGTACTTGTTTTCACTACGTTGATCCCGTGTTGCACATGCCGTGCCCGGGAATGGGCGTTGAACTGCATGTTTCCGCAGCATTGGCTTAAGCCGCGTAGGCAAGATGTTAATTTGGTGATGAGGCGGAAGCGGGAGGTAATCCATGACTTCCTTGTGGGCGTGGACGCAGCGGAGTCCGACCGGACAGTAGCTGAGGAGGCAGATGACTCAGATGAGGAGGGGCCAAGGGCTGCACCGAGCCTCGGTTCCGATGGGCTTTCCAGCAACGAGTCGCGGGAGCTCATGGCAAAGTGCTTGCTGCGGAAGGGCTTTTGTCTCATAGGCTTAGGTGGAAAACATCAGCAAACTGTGGATGCTGCTCGCTTGGATGCACTGAAGCTGCTCCAAGAAGATGACGGCAAACGCTTTCGGCCACCAGCCTCATTGATCGTGGACGGGCTCTTAGGTGAAGAAGGTTCGGCCGAAATCATGGATTTGGAAGGCTACAACTTTGCGACCCAACAGAAACAAGGGCTACGGGCTGCAGATACCTTTTTGAAGCAAGTCTTTGATGCGGTTACCCCTTTGGACTCCATACTCGGGTGCCGCATGACGACCCAGTCCCCTTGCATCCTGCACAAAGCAGGCATTCCCATGGATAGTGATGTTCCAGAGCTGACGCCTGGAGACTGCCAGAAATGGCTGAAGATACTAGGCCATAGTAGATTGATGTTAGTGCTCTTCCTGGGCCCTGGCTTTGGGCGGATGGAGTTCCAGCCCTTGGATGCTGAAGTTGATACTGTGGAGCTGGATGTTGGGCCAGGCACGTTGTTGTTGCTGCGGTCCGATGGCTTGACACATCGCTTCTTCTCCACAGCTCGATCCTTGGCCTTGAGCTGTTTCCTTATGGAGGATGCTACTCACAGCTGGCGAAGGCGATTTGGTGTCCCGGTCGTGGTGACCCCCGTGTGTCGAGATTTGATGGATTGGGCCAAGGAGCATTGGGAGGAGTCCCGACGGAATCAGAGCATTGGCGACAAAGGTCAAGAACTGGATAGCACTTTGCCAGGCCAGTGGCAGCGGATGGCTTCGCAGGTCTTCCAAATGGGCCCCCAAATAGCTGTGCGGGGCACAAGCTGCAAGCTGCCGGCCTCCTACAGCGACGCAGGGTTTTGGTGCGGTGCGGAGACTGGATGTGACTTACTCGAGGAGGTGCCGCTTTGCCGCTGGGACCATGCGGATGTCTATGACCCAGATCGTGAGAGCTGGAAGTGGGGCAAGACCAGTTGCATCTCGACAGAAACGTCAAGAGCATTCTTCAAGCATTCTTCACCAAATCCTCTCAATTGCAATTTCGTGATCCCAACCAAATGAACCATGATTCAGCGACGCAAACAAACACACTCACAGGACCCAAATGAAAACAGTAGAGTCTAGAGTCCCAAGCTCAAGTTAAGTCTCTCGTCAATTGGTGCTTCCAATCATGTATTTCTTGAACTTGGTGCTTCCATGTGCAGGCAATCACGGCTCCTTTATTGATGGCATCGAGCTTTTTGACAACAAGTTTTTTGGCATCTCGCCAGTCGAATCACGAGGCATGGACCCAGGGCAACGGCATATTCTCGAGACTTCCTATGAGGCGCTTTATTTCAGTGGCTTTCAGAAGAAGTCTTTGATGAGATCGTTGATTGGCGTCTACATTGGTGCGGCCACTTCTGAGTTTGGCTTTGCACCTCAAGACTGCTCCATGTCCGGAACTGGCGGTGCAAACAGTATCACTTCCAACCGGATTTCCTTCTGCTTGGGCTTGCAGGGTCCAAGTTTCACAATTGATGCACAAGGGGCTGCAGCCCTGGCTGCTTTGACCAATGGAGCCATGAGTTTGCGCTTGCAGACCGATCTCTACAAACCGAATCATACGGCTTTGGTAGGTGGTGTGTACCTGATGTTAGCTGGAGTCACTTGGATATTGCTCAGTGCCAAAGGGCACTTGTCACATCAAGGTCGTTGCATGACCTTTGATCAATCAGCTGACGGCTATGCAAAGAGTGAGGGTGTAGCCAACCTAGTGCTTACCCGAATGGATGATCAGAATGAGACGGAGGAGGAGTCGAAGCCCAAGGGGATCATTGCAGCCACCCATTCCAGCCACGGAGGTAGGAGTGCCTCGTTGACGGCGCCATGTGGTCCGATGCAAGGCGAGATGATCCACCAGGCCTTGCGGCAGGCAGCCATTGCAGCGAGCACCATGGAAGCTGTTGAGTGCTTTGGCCATGGAGTTTCCATGCAGGACGCCGTCGAGGCACAGGTGACCAAACACGCCTTGCGTGGTTCTGTTCAGGACGAGGTGCCTTTGGCCTTGACCTCTTGCTTCTCTCAGGCTGGGATGCCAATGGAAGCAGCAGGGATGGCACAAATCCTGAAAGTCCTCATCACCCAAAAATATGGCACAATCGTTCCTTTATTGCACTTGCAACAGCTGAACCCACACATCGAGGACTCCCTCAATGAATGTGCTCTTTTCGCCAGTGAGCATGTGCAGTTGGAAGGGCTGAGCTCCTACCATGGGATTACGGGCCGAAGCATTGGCGGAACTATGTGCCATGTGATCACCTTGGGCAATGTTCAAGTGGAGCAGCTGGAGAAGCCAGCCATCGCTCAAGGAGAAGAGGCCACATATGAGACCAGCCGGGAAGCACGAGAGCTTGCAGCGAGCACTTTCTGGCTCTCTCGAAAGATTTAATTTTATGAGTGAATGCAGTACATGTAGATGATGAGTTATCAAAGCTCCCAGTTTGATTGGACTCCTCAATAGTGTTCTGAAGTCGTCCGGGTCTTCCAATACCGAAATGGATCGAAATGGACTTTACTCCGGTGGGGCCAAAAATGGACGGACGCGATGATTCGATGCAAGTTGGGTGCACAAAATAATATCATGGACGTGCTAGACACCTACTGTACCAGCTGAGTGCGTAATGCAATTGTCCAATCATTAGGTTGGACTTCTCGGTGGCTCGCTGTGCTCTCAGTTTCAGGTCGCTGACATGCTTGTGAGGCTACTGACAAGACATGACTCAGACATGAAGAGTTGGACTCAGTTGGGCTGTCTGAGTATTCTTTTGATATGGCCGTTTCTTGTCGCCAAACTTTGGCTCACAGTACTCACATGAAACGTCCTCCTTTAACATAGAATGCTCTTCATTCTTCTCACGGTTGCGCTTGGCGCAGAAGGACAGCATAGATAGCGGGATGTAGCGAGTGTATGTGGAAAGGCCGCTTATACGACTGAGTGCTTGTGCCAGGAGCCATTCTTAGCAATGTGGGCTACCTCCTTCCGGTCAAGTGGGGCAAGCCTGAACGCTCTGCGCCTTGCCCACTTCAGAGCAACACAGATATACCGACTTCATGGATTTGAAAGGACTTTGGTGTTGCTGCGAGGTTCAGCAAGCGCTCGACGATGCCTTCCCAAAGCATGATTTTCCAGGCAGGCTGTCGTGCTTGATCTCCACACAACGGGTGCTTGTCCCGAGAGTTCGTGTGGATCTTGCTTTGAACGGGTGCTGAGAGTTCGTGATGGGAGCGACACCAGCCACGCACCTGTCAGACGGATTTTGGAGCTCCTTGGCCTTTACGGAGGGCACTTACCCGAATCAGCAGGTTGGTGCCAAGGGTGGAGGCCCTAGACAGATTGTGGCCGCATTGTTAGAATTGGTTAGGCCCTTTTCCTGGGCGTAGGGCCTACAGACTTGGAATCACGAGGACTGGTGAAATGGATCGAGGAGGAGTTGCTGACCTCCGGTGAGGGATCGATTAGCATCCCCTGGACGTTTCTTGGACGCTTTAGCTCTGGAATCCACTTGTAGCTAGCTGTTAGCGAGCTCAGTTTGTCACCTTCCAAGGCAGGGCAATGCTTCAAGGCTAGCGCCCTTAGAACAAAAGCAGTGGCTCGGTGGCAGGAGAGGTGAATCCAAAAAAGATAATTCGACGAATCCACTATCGCTCGAGGATTTAGAGAGTCTGTTTTGAGTCTCTCCCTCTAGATTTCCGGCTGTATTTTTAGGTATATTGCCTACTCCAGACGGCAAGTGTGTTACATTGTCGCCAAAAGCCTCATAGGCAGGATGTGCCGATAATGTGGTTGCAAGTTTGACATGGTGATGACCGGCCAGTCCCTGCAGGCAGTGAAAGCGGCCCACACAAGAACGCACTGTAGCTTCCTCGCACTGCAGCGTTTCCAGCTGATATTGTTTTTGGTGTTGTTTGCACCAAGGAAGAGCTTCTTGAGCAAGCCAGGCTCGGTCAGTTGCATTTCTTCTTCAAGGTAGAGCATGAAGGGCAGTGCAGATTGATACAGTGACAAGTCTGACAAGTTAGAAGGTGTCACAGCTGCAGGACCCGGAAGTTGCCTCCCTCGAAAGGATGGCTACGGTCGAGCATTCTGGACTCTACTTGCTGCATGTTCCAGAGACCCCACACTGGCTCATGGTGCCGAAGGTGGGAGGGTCAAGCGTCCAAATGATGCCATATCGCTGGGCACCCTGAAGCCAGGCCCAAAAGTTGTCGTTGCCAGAGGTTCTCAAGTAGAACCTTGGACAGAAGAGGAATGCTTTCAGAAACAAGGTTCAGAATTCTTGCAAACTGCCTTGTCATTTTGCATCTCATTTGTGTGGCCAGTCTAACAAGTGCCAAACATACTTGAGAAGCGTTCTTTTTGTGCCGAGATTCCACCCGATGATCTCTTGAAAGATGCCACCAATGCGTACCCTTTGAGTGATGCAAAGTTGAGAGTCTGTCGGTATGACGACGGTGGTGGTGGCAGCGCTCTAGCAGGAGCCGGGTTGTTTTCCACGCACCAGTGGGGATTATTTGTAGGGACGAGCATTTCTACTAGGAGCAAGGACGCTACTAGGGGCTCCTAGCCTTACTGCTAGGAGCAAGGACGCTACTAGGAAGCCTCCGGGCCGGTCCTTCATGCCAAATGTGACCCTGCAGGTTCAGGCAACAAATTCGTGTATCATATCATCCTTCGGCAGAAAGGGAGGAAAGAAACGTCGACAAAAAAAATATGAAAACAGAATTAACAAACGTAAAGGATCATAAAATAGAAAGACGAGAATGACAAGTATATTATATTCATGTATATTCCTCCCTCCAAGCAATTCCCAAGCTGTTTAATACCTTTCCTACACTCACTTTTCTGAGTGCCTGGAGGAGTTCCAACGGTTCCACCATCCCGTTGCAAGGCCAAGTCTGGCAAGCGAGGTCTCGATTTCATGACCTCGGACGGGCCCCAAGGGCAGGCGATGCAAGTCATGACCCAAAAGACCGTGGGAGGTCACATCTATGGAGTAACCTGCTCAATAGGAGGTGGGCAAAGTGAGCATGTGGCCGTCTATATGCCCGAAGCAACCGCACTGTCCCTCTTCCTCACCAACGAAGAAAGTCCACAGGTGCCGACTCCTGCTTGGATTGTGGGTGCTCGACCGATTTTGGATATTGAGGATGCCACCCTGTCGTCCAACGCCACCCTTCAGCCATTGAAAGGAGTGCGCTTCACAAGCGACTTAGTGGATGTGCAGATTGTCTCCTCAAAGTTCAAAGTCAGCGGCAGCAAGCCGATCGTGGCATTTTCAGGGGAGACCGAAGATCTCCTTGGCATGTCTTTGTCTCCTGACGACGTCCACTTAGCACGCACCAACCGCCTCGGAAAGTGGCCTGTTTGCGAAATAGGGCCATCTTCAGAGTGACGAACGGGAGAGAGAGAGAGAGAGAGAACCTAATTGTAACGGCCTCCAACCTACTATTGATGGCCTCCACCTAAGAGCGATGGCCTCCAACCTAGAAAGAGAGAGAGAGAGAGACCGGGTACTGTGTGTGGCCGCTTCCGCTTTGTGCTGTGAATCTACCATGGCTTGTTGGCACGCCCCAGGCAAAGGGACACCACCGGCGGTCCGCTATCCTTCAACCGCAAGGTCGTCCAGTACTACCGAGGCCACGGGAACCGACGTGTTTCTTGTTCGTTTGACAAGAGATTTGTGTTTCTATTTCGTTGAGGATTAACCCCTGAGCAACAGTCTACGTTGTCGTCTTCGTTCACTAAGTTTGTCATCACCATTCAGTTTCATCTCCCGATGTGTAGGTGAAGGACGCTTTGCCATTTTCAATTGCAGAAACTCAAGTGTTGCACGATGTTCATGAGGCATGGCTCTTGAATCTCAGCATCCTGATGTTTGGCCAATGAACTTTGGCTGCAATCCTGAATGACTCATCACCAGACTCCATATGACTCAAAATGACATCTTCATATAAATAGTATTGTAATATCATATATGTATGTATGTATTTTTTTATATATATATATACACACTCATTATTGATGCAACTTTGTGTTTTTGTCAAAGTTCTTCACTTCCATCTTTTAAAAACAAGCGATGCCAAAGTGGTGAGGTTAAAGACGGTGGTCAAGTCAATCGGCATTGGCCCCTGGGGTGCCGGCCTTTCATTCGGTGACTCAAGCCTAAGCTTTTTCGCCATTTGGATTGGACATGCTGCAGCAGCAGGTGGGGTCCGTGACGTGCTGGTTTTTGAAGGCATATGCACTGCCATGCCTTCAGCCAGTCTGTGATTGTTAATTTATATACAAGCTCATCTGGAGTTGGAATGATCCGGGAGGAACCTGGGGTGGAAGCGCGCCGGAGCTCGACTACTACACTTACTCCTCCTTCCTTGAAAATCCTAGCAACCAATGCCTCGCACCAGACTAAGTCGAGGTGCTTCATTGCAGGATCCCCATTTGCTGTTCTTTTTCTCAATTGTTCGATGTGTTGCACTGAGGTTCATAGTTGGGGGAATTGCAAGAAGTGCATCAAGGAGTGCAACTCGAGGAAGCCCTCACAAGCGTACTGGCTTCCAAAACAGGATGCTTGGACAGCAAGGAAGGCAGCAGGCCAAACGACTCTGAGGTATCAGAGAGTCCCTGATGCTGGAGATGTTGATTCTTGTTGTTTACAGAAGCAAGAGCCGTCAATGAGTTGTTTGGGAGCGGGTGGCCCGGTAAAGAGCAAAGGCCTACATGACGTGGGACACCGGCAATCCTTGCCTCACTGGCACTTGGAAAGAGTGCTCTGTAAATGGAATTGAGCATATCTATTGGAATTGGAAGAATAAATCTGGAGGCCATTTGTGGAACACAGTGGCTTCACTGCAGAGGGGGAATTGTCAAATTGAAGCTTGCCTCATCTTCACCATCATCATTGATGAATTCCTTTTTTGAGCAGAAGTGATTCGAAGCGTGAACGCCGCTGCTTGTGTCAAGGTCAACTGGATGCTTTGGCACAACCGTTATCACACCAACAAGGGTGTGATAGATGAAATCATGGACTACACAGTGAAGACCGAAGCTTCAGCCCTGAAGCCACTCTTTCCCAAACTGGACATTTACAACTAGTTTCGTGCTCAGGGCCTGGCTCTGCTGAGCTTGTGTGCGGCACATTTGACAAGAAAGATCCAGACTCCAGACTGGATGGGTGGCCGCCACGAGAACTTCATGATTCCGCTTTTTACCAGGCTAAGCCCGTCCACCAATGTTGAATCCAAGCACACCCAAAGCAGGCCAAAGGCACAACTGAACCGGTGGCCACCCTGATTTGCCTTGGCGACAGATCTTCCATGTTTCACCACCCTTTTAATCCTTTGAGGGTCCTTCAAGGTCCTTCGAGGCTCTGTGGGTGCTCAACTTCTAGATCCCGACTGATCCCTTTCGATCCCTTTCCAGGTGTCGCAGGTGTCCACAGCCATAACCAGCTTGAACAGCCACGGAGGGTGCAGGTGGGATAAGTCACTATAAGTCCATCCCGGGCATCTGCCAAATGGCAGCGGTGGCCGTGCCAAAGCCGCTCGGTTCCCAAAACCAATTGCCCCCATTTGGGCCCGTGTTGTGCCATTTCGCCAATCTTGACGTGAAGTCCCAATGCTTCCGTACACGGACGAAAAAGGGCCAAACAATAGGGACCAATCCAACAAACTCTTTTGGATCACGTGCATTTTTGACTCCAATGAGGAAACCATAGGGACCCCTGAGAATCTACGTTTCCCATTTTGAGAGGGAGCTGGCAGAGTAATTACACCAAGGCGGGTGCATGCCTTCAGCTCACACTTCTATGCCAGGCTTGTTCGGGAGCCAAGTGTCTCAAAAGCCAGTCAGTTCAGCTGTCAGAAACCTTCTTGCCGGAGCCAGCGTTTGCAAGCAATTGGTACGGAGCACATGGACGACACAGGGTTTGCTGAATGCCCAAGATCAACCGGGAGAGGACATCAGTTGAAACCTCACAGCGCCCTAACAGACAATGCACAAATAAAAATTCACATTGAGCCAAGAAAAAGCGACACAGCACCTCTAGCATCACCTAGCAAGTTCCATCCAAAGAAGACCTAGAGACGAGAGCTGCATCAGCTCAATGGGACAGCAACCCTCATGTGAAGAGGCCGGTTCTTCGTTTTATACTTGGATGACAAGTCAGGAGGCTGTCGGCGTCGACTTCGTTGGCCAGGTGGCACTCGGAGATCCAATCTTTGATGAGGGGATTTGGGTGGCAAGCTGCCTCAAGCTTGATACGATGTCAAAGTTTGCATCAGAGCGTCTGGGCTGGCAGAGTCTAAATTGAAGGAGTCCTGTACCAATCTTATTATATAATTACATTCAATTACTGTAGTGGGCTTTGCACTATTACTTGCTTGCCATAAAGCACCTGCTCGGCCACGTACCCTTGTGCCAAGGTTCGCTTTGTACCAACCCGACTGTCGAAAATTTTGTGACAAAGGTCCAAACTGCAAATACCTCAAGGGCAGCAAAAGACATTTGGCAAGACATATGGTGCCATGCCATGACGCGGAGAGATTTGGGGGTTCGAGAAATTGATGCCGAAGATGAACGATAAATAAGCAATACATTCCTGTGGCAAGTGTTAGCTGTTAGATCCAACTGAGGAGATGCCACAGTTCGGCACTTTGTTTGGTGTGAGTGAAGGGAAGACATTGAATGTAAATAGCAAGATTGTTCTGAAAAGGCTTGTGCTACTGTACCAAGTTGCCAAGGCACACATCAAGCAATTTCTTCATGTACCGCTCAATGTGCTGCACGCTGCTTCGAGAGCGGACATGGAACAAAGAGGTCGCACAGAGGTGGCTAACACTCCAGATTTGAAGATGTTGCTTCCCTTTGTGCCGAAGTGTTGGCTGACACTTGCCAGCCTTGCCATTCAACTGGGGGTGGGGGCCTTTCGCGGCCTCGGATGTGTCTCTTTCGGGGCAGGTATGGGCAGGTTCTCTATAGTGGATGGATCCGAGGATTCCGACCCGTGAAGCTCTTCATGCGTCCGAGTTTCCAGATGCTCTGAGAGGACGAGATGTCGTGGTCTTCGTGCAACTCGGTGTCTCCTAGTAGCGTCCTTGCTCCTAGGCCAGGAGCCCCTAGTAGCTTCTTGCTCCTAGTAGCGATGCCCTTTGCTCCTAGTAGTGTCCTTGCATTAAGAGGACAAAACTTTGTGGAACCAACCTACTAGCGATGGCCTCCAACCTCATAGCGATGGCATATTATTGCAAATCAAGCAGTCGGTCTCCCGCTTGGGCTTTTGTGCGATGTCAGCCAAGGCATGGGTTCCGCTTCAACCTTATGCGAGTGGTAAGAACCTCCTATGCCTTGCGACAACTGACAAAGGACCTTCCCTGTGCCCAATCTGCTTTGATCCTCTCCTTCGTGTGGCCCTCGCACCGGCAACGGAAATCCTACTCGAAAGCCCGTCCCTGCCTCAGCAAGGCAAGTGAAGACAAAACGCCTATATAGACAAAAGCAAAGGACATCGAGGTACGGCACCTTCAAAGGGTTTTCCACTGGTCCAAACTCATGGAAAGCTGAGCAACGGGTCTTTGCAGGTGGACATGCCTGTGATTCTGCCCAGTATTTCGCGACATTGCTGCTGCTGCTGTCACAACTTGGGTGCTCGGTGCATGTGGTAGCACACAGCCTGGGGTGCCGAGTGGCCATGGCCGCCTTACTGGAATTGGAAGAGGCCAGAGAGACCTGTGTCCAGCTAAAGCAGCTTGACATTAATTTGGATGATCTTGGGGTCCGGATAAGGATGTGAGGAGAGGACGGTTCTTTTTTGAACTGGCGAGGTAACTGAACATAGCTGAGCCGTGTGAGGTACATGGCACTGCTGGGCGGTGCAGTGGCCAGGGAGGCTTTGGAGCCTGAGGGTGAGTTCCCTCTTCGAAGGCCTGGAGATCGGAACGCTTCGAAGGTATGTGTAACAGCACACCTTTCACAAGGCCTTTCTCAAGGCTTGGTGTTTTTTTTGATAACTTCATGCTAATTATTCAATATTGCGGGGTCGTGACACTGAGGGCCCAGGGCTCAAGGACTACGAGCAGAAAAGGTAGGTAGTTCTGTTCCAGTTTTGTAATGTTTTGTCCGTCGAACGAATGATCAGGCTGTCGGCAGCCCAAATCGATGTCTTCTACTCTCAGAAGGTGTGGCGTGACGGTGGCCGACCTCCATAGTTGCCGCAGTGCATGCGGGTGCATGTGGATGGCATGTACTTATATACAACAATGTCCAGATCTCTGGACAGATTTCAATAGATTTCATCAGCTTTAAGGTAAAGAATGATACATGCATGTGTCCTTTTCACACCTCATGCCGCTAGCTTCGAGAACGTGCATTACTTCCAAATGGATACCGGACTGCCGCCCTGCAGGACTCGGTGCTGCTGAAATACTTCCGGCTGGGGGAAGGCGTTGACGCCTTTTTCTCCACTGGCCGGACCTCCGCGATGTCGGAGGCTTTGGGACTGCGGGGCCCTGTGAATGCCACGATGGAGGCCACAGCTGGCACAGCTGGAACGAGCCTAACGGCCTTCGAAGTGACTGAGGAGGTGCATGCGCACAGTGCAGCTCAGATTTGGGTTTAGCGTTTTGGGTAGGCATTTTTTCTCTGCTCCGTCTCCTCAGTCTCCTGCTTGTGTTTCTTTCTTTCCGCACCCATGTTTTCTGGCACATGAGTTGGCACAGCTGCAGTGTCATTTGATGTCATTTAGCATGTGCGTGTCTCAGTCGTTCGTAGCCTGATGTGTTTTCTTTGTTTGACTGTAGGCTGAATGCTACATACTGGCACCAACCTTTGCCAAACGCTTGGCCCGACAGCTCTGCCACTGTGAAGATGAAGAAGTATTGGGTCCGAAACTCAAAAGTGGTTTGTTTTTTGCCTACATACCGCACATACCCCCCCAACCATTCCAACACGTTCGGACCCTTTCGGTCAACTTAGCTGGGGTCAGGAAACCATGAAAACAAACGATTTGAGAGATATGATATGATTGTAAGATGTCGGCAGTGAAGCCTCAAGACTTTCTGCGGGTGCTGCCAAGGTGTACGAAGAACATTGACCAGCGATTTGATGACAGAGACATCGACAGAACTTGATCTAGGCTGGACCGCTTTTTGCCGTTTCCATGGAGAGCCACTAGACCAGTATCCATGTTTGTGGGCCTCCCCGTGCATTTTTTCTCGGAGGTGACTCCGATGATGAGCATCCGCATCGGCAACGTGCACAAAGCAGCCAAGGGCCGGGATGAATCGCAGTGACATCCTTTCACACCCGAATGCGTTTAGCCTTAAAGTTGGTGGCTGAGAACGCATAATGTTTAAGCGGGCGTGGAGAGGATATGTTAGCGAGGAAAATGTTGCACTCGGTGATGCCGGCTAATCTTTCGAATTTCGATTTTCCAGCGTTTTGGGTTGGAGGCCATCGCTAGTAGGTTGGAGGCCATTGCTATTAAATAGGTGTAATCCTTGCCATTAGGTTGGGAGCATCTTGTGTTCCGCAGTTTGCCGGAATTCCCATTCTCAAAGCCTGGCTCCAACAGTTCTTCCACAGATGGGGAAGCAGGGACAATGAAATCTTATTGAAATCCTTGTTGAGCCTTGAGACATGCAGGCCATGCAGCGTTGCGACTGTTTGTCGTCCAAGAGTTCCAACCCTTCAGAACACTCACGCGAAAAGCGCCAGAACACTCCACAACCTTAGCAATGGTGCAGCTGCTGTGGGAAGTGGTTGGTGGGGCTGACACAGGTGTTTGGGCTGCTGAACTGTCGGAGTGGTGGAAGGAATTGAGTATCACTACCCAGAATGCTTGAAAATGCCTTCAAGTCCCGTTGAGTTGAGACGCGTGTAGCGGACCATTCCCAACCTAGTAGCGCCCTTGCTCCCAGTAGTGCGAGGTGGGATTCTGGTGCGCAGTGGTCAAGAGCTCACTTCTTCCAAGCATTCTGAGCGACTTTCCACTGGCGCGCTGGTTGAGGCATCGACCACTGACGCTGCGTTTCAGGCACTTATATATATATATATATATGTGGTCAAAAGCAACCGAGCTTGTCCCGGTGGGTGTTCCATAGCTCAATACAAACTCAGATATACAATATAGTCTGAACTCATGGCGGTTAGCCGTGCTGGTCAGCCGTGGTAGGAGCTTTGCTTGGCTGGGGAGCGGCTCCACTACAAACGTCATAGCGGCAAAGGCCCAGAGCAAGGGTGGGTGCAAGACTCAGCAAGTTCTCCCTTCGCGCAAACTTTGGAATTATGGAAAGAGCCAAACCAGCCATGCTTGGAAAACATGCATGATGGAAAACCAGATGTTCAAGTCCAATGTCAAAGAGCGTAGAAGACAGTTCGATTAAACGTTGAATCCTGGATCCCCATTTTGCCAAGCAAGGTCTCTGTCCGGGTTGGGCCGAAGGACATGCGCCGGCGGTATTTAATACCAAGTTCTGGTTGCTTTGCATTGGTCGAGGCATTATACAACGCACAAAGATCCGACATTTTGTTGGACGTCACTTTGGCTGAGCTTCCCTGTTTGGGTGTGTGAGGGTTAACCGATTTGCTTAGTGTGTTGAGATTTGTATGTCGCCCTGCAGGGTGAAGGCTTAAACGACCTTTGATTTCTTCTCCGTTTAGAGGTGTAGAAGTTTGTAGATGTTTTTTGGTTGTGGTTAGTGTGTTTTTTGATGGTTTTTGCAGTATATTTGGTTAGGTAGAGTACGTATTTGTAATTAGGTTTTTTCAGCACTGAGCACTGCCGTGGGCCAACGAGCGTCCAGAGTGAAGCGAGGAACCAGCTCACCATCTTCAGCCATTGTACAGGGTTCAGCAAGTATGGCTCACCGCGTGTACTTCAGAATGTAAGTCTTGAAACTTGTGTGGCGTAAGAATGGAGCTGCCTCTTTTTTTTTTGGTGGCCCTCTATATAAATATAGATGTAAGTGTTATACATATATATACATATGTGTGTGCGTGTGCGTATGCCTATGTTTTGCTTCAAGCTTCGGCTCTCTTTTTCCGATCGTGCCGATCTTTGGGGAACTTGTGTTGTTGGCGTTGTGACCCGTTTCTTTTCTGCGCCTGTACGACCACTGCAGGAGCTGGTCGTCCGGAAAGGTGAAGGACATGAAACTCAAAGTTCCTCTCACAAAGCGGGCGGTTTCCAGCAAAAAATTGGCACAGGATGCTTGGCATGAAGGTCAAGTGTGGCGAGTCAAGTGTGGTAGCCGCTGGTAGCCCAAGATTTTTCATCACAAGATTTTGCCAAGGAAAGAAGGTTCGCATCCTTGGCCTACAAGGTGAAGAGCACCAAAAGTACAATGGGAAGAACGGAGCGATCATGGGCTTTGATCCTGCAACAGGTAGATATTCTGTGAGCCTTTGCCTTTTTTCTTCATGAGGGCGCCGACACAGCTCAGACTCACAAACTATTTTATTTTGGAGTCCGTTTATTTGTGTTCTGATTATGATTCAGTTTTCACTCGTGATTCAACCCCGCCTGCCACTCAGCTTAGGAAGGTGGTGGTTCTGAGTGACAAAGCCGTTGGCCTACAATCTGAGGGAGCCACCATCTTGCTCCTGAAGCAGGACAATGTGGAACTTCATCCAGACCAGCCCCCTGCCTGGAGTTTTGCTCCAGTAGCAAGGACGCTATTAGGTGGAGACCATCGCTACTAGTAACTAGTAGTTTTCTAGTAACTAGTAGCGATGGCCTGCACCTAATAGCGTCCTTGCTACTAGTAGCTTCTTGTTACTAAGAAGCCTGCGGCCTGCGCTGCCTGGAGTTTTGCTCCACTTTCCAAGTTTCAAGTCACCTTGTTGGTCTGAGGATCGAGCGAGACCAAGTCGGGAATGGCGACGAGATCGTTCTGTTGGGAGCTGGCGATGCAAAGAGGAGACTGTACGAGGCAAGTCTTGAGGAAGCATGTTTTTGTATGTTCTTTTTTAAAAAAGTGCGAGTAGAGAGGTTTTGAAAGAAAGCAGGAAGAGGAAGCAGAGAAAAGGAAAGAATAAAAAAAAGAAAACCGAAAGAACTGTTTTTCCGGAAAATGCACATAAGGAAACTTGAGGAAACCATCGAAGCAAGGTGAAGCACATAAATAAGAGTAGTGAAGTCCAAGACCTCTCACGCCCTAAGCAGTAGTAGGACTTCACAAGTTGACCTAAAACATCCTAAAACCAAAAAAACTGTCTTAGATAGGAGAGAGGGAGAGAGCGATATATATATATAGAGAGAGAGAGAGGGAGAGAGAGAGAGAGAGAGGGAGCAAACAAACAAAAGCTTGAATCCTGCCTGCAGCCTCGCCTTCAGCATTTTGAGGTTAGACTAGACCCGCAGTACTGGTACGATAAAGCCATTGAGAGCGCCTTGGCTATGCTGCGCTACGTCGTCGCGAGCTTGAAAAGGCCGTACCATTTGGCAACCCAAACTCATAAAGATCATGAATCTGTTTTGGAACTTTGTCCGGGCAATGCAAGTTGATGATTTTGGTGTGCAACATTCGGGCCGTTTTGCCTGTCACTTTGGTAAGGAGTGCTCGAAGCAAAGAATGATTTCGAAGTATTGGATCTCACTCCACAATTCATTCCTGACATGAGTGTGCTGAAGAAGGCCTACCGCAAGATTTCGCTGGCTGTTCATCCAGATAAGACGCTTCAAAATGAACATTGAAGCACTTGCTGGTTGCGCGGAGTCATGATGTTTCTAACATGTGTGGAGGGGCCAAAGCTAGTCTGTTTGGCTCGAAGCAGAAGGAGGCTTTGCAAGGCTCAATCACATCATTTCACGCGGCTGAGGAACCAGCATCCTCAATCGGCGGATGCCTTCCGCAACTTACCTGAAACGAGACAGCATTTCTTTCGCTGTTTTGGAACTTTGTAGCATTCGCGTTTATGATTGAGTGTTGCTAAACAAGTTGCCAAAGCCTTTCAGGTTAATGCTTAGGATGTTTTGCTGTAGCTGTTTAGTTTGTGGGAACTGAGCTCATTTTGACAGGTAAAGTCTATGGAGCCTTCGAGACCTTGATGGACCTTCGACAACAAAGGAGGTTGCTATGGATTCTGGGAAAACTCACCCCGGACATGGAGGAGCAGGTGACCTTTGACGAGGAAGAGGAAGACGAACTCTTCCAGTGGTGGTGGGAAGCCACGGTGCCCGAAATTGAGAAGCAGGTCGCTGAATTTGAGGGCCAGCAGTTTGACGAATATGGAGCAATGTGGATCTCCGATGGGCTTGGTGGAGTTTCTTGCCAGAAAGCATTCCGTGGAATGCCCTAGGCCACTCGGACGACAATGCAAACGCGAAATGGATTCTGAGGATGTGGGGGAGGTGAAGTGGATCGGGCTGGAAACTGCCAAGCGATTGCACAAAGAAGAGGAGAGCCGTAGCTGGTTCAAGGGGTCAGGCAGGCAGGCAGGCTTGAATGAGGGCTCCAGTTTATCGCTTTTTACATAAGGGAATCCGTGGATCAATGGTTCGCCGGGCTGGGTGCTGGGTGGGGCTTTGTATCTTGGTGAGTCAAGAACCTTGAGGAGGGTGTCATCTTCATTGACGTGCGGGACCGCAGAGATTTTGTGGCTGGCCACATTGCTGACGCCTACTGCACGCCTTTGCCAGAAATCATTGCACCTTGACCGTGGCTGGTTTCGGACAGCAGAAGGCCACAAAGGCTAGAGCCCGGAATTTTGTGACAAGTCTGCTGAGGATTATGGGCTGGTAAATGTCTTCATGGCAGCGGATGACCAGCTCATCCACAAGCTTTTGAAGCTTGTCGGCATACTTTTGACTCGTGATGCAATGATGCAAATACAGTACTGATTTTCGATGCTGGTTTCCAGCCAGCCAAGGAAGCACAGAACGAAGCCTATCATAGTTTACAGCACCTCGTCAGTCAGGTTGATTGAAAGACCAAACAAAGGTAAGGAGCTCAAAACTCAGAACCTTCGGAACCTAGTCATTGATTGAAGTCAAGTCCTCTTCAACCAGCAGGATCCGTACAACAGGGGTGAACAAAATTGCAAGTTTCTGGCGCAGCGCTGTGGGCAGGTGAAGTCGCTACTCCATTCTCTCGCTGCAGGGCCTTCTGCCGGTGGCTTCTACGGGCAGGTCACCAAACCATCAAGGTGGAGCGGGTGAGAAGACTTCGACCCTTGGTCTGGATCTGGGGGGGTGGGATCCGAGAGGTGCAGCGATGCATCCCTTTTGTTGTCCATTTTGGAGTTGTGAATCCAAAGAGTGGCCTTCAATGGGTCTGAGGTGGAGGCATCTTCGGGTGGAAGCACAAAGATGGTCACGGCCTCGGGTCTTCTTCTTGGTTTGTTTGATTATGATTGCACGTCAACCCAGCTTTGGTTTGTTGAAAGATGTTGAAAGTACAGCTCTCTTTCAGGCCCTGTTGCCCGGCCATTGCAGGACAAGATGTCAGCTGTATTGCTGCTTTGATTGGTCATACCTGGTCTCAGCCTTTGGACAGGACACCACTTACGAGCTTGCAGACGAACCTCATGGTGGCCTAGCAGCGGCACTCATCTCGTCTACAGGTCTTTTGGCAGACTGAGGGGACAAATGCACCCTCCAGCCGACTCGACTCTGGCTCTCGTGACTCGACTCTGACACCGAAAGATCTTCGGAAGTCTTCCTGTCTTCGGGTGATGGGCAGCCTCGCGCGGCGAAGCCGCCATGCGACGAAGCCTGCCCTCCCCCCCCTGCGCGCCGTCTCTGCAAAGAGAAAAGATTTAGCAAGCAAAGAGCATAGAGAGTGAGGAACCTAGTAGCGTCCTTGCTCCTAGGCCAGGAGCCCCTAGTAGCGTCCTTGCTCCTAGGCCAGGAGCCCCTAGTAGCGTCCTTGCTCCTAGTAGCGATGCCCTGTGCTGGCAAGCAAACAGCTGAAGAAGATTGATATGATTTATAGCCGAGGCCAGCAAAGAGGCAGGCCAGACAAGCGACACCCCGTCCAGAGCTCATACTGCAGGCGAGCTGTTGTAGAAATGCGAGTTCATCATTCAAGGCCGATGGATCAGGGATGGCAGCGAGCCAGTGGCCTCAAAGTGTGACGTTTTGACGTTTCACCATTCATGGCCCAAGAGTTGATCAATCAATTCGTCGCAAACTCTGAAGGGAAGCAAGAAGCTACTAGCAGCGCTCCTGGCATTACTACTAGGAGCAAGAAGCTACAAGTAAGATGGGAAAGGCTACTAAGGCAATCTTAGGAGCCCACTTTGATGGTTGGCCATCTTGGGCGAATGACAGGTGTTTGAAGAATAAACCGGTGACCCTCGGGCGTCACAGCAGCTCAGATGTATATACATGCAAAGCGGAAACACTGAACTCCATGATGCGTAGTCAACGGCGCAGTCCATGCGCAACACGTGCGCTCTGAGACTTGTGACATTTCTTTGCGAGGTGAGAACCTGGACTCGGGCGGTGCGCAGGCGGCACGTGACAGGGATTTTCTCCTGCGACTACCTGCTGGTGCCGCTGCACCACGAGGCTGTTAGCGCTTGGATGAATCCACATTTGCGCAGAGGTTTGCTGTTCAAGAGCTGGCAGCTGGCAGAGAGCATAGCAGCTAGCACATTTGTTGGACGTAGGGCCTTGTGCCATCTTGAAGTCCAAGAGACATGTTGAGTCCATCCTACGTCCCTCGGTGAAGGAAGAGTGCCATTGGTCTTTGGCTGTTGCCGTTTGCCTAGTTCAATGGAGAACTCAGAGAGGAGCTTTGCCTGCTTTGCCCACCTTGCCCACCCCATCCATTGACGGCACTTCGAGGTGTGTAGACCCTGGGCATCCATCGATGTGGACAATTGGGCCATTCTCCCAGAAGCCAGAGATATACGACAAAAACTAACTAAAGAGAAGGAAAGAGCCCCTTTGATAAGGCCTTTCGGCCTCCTTGAAGGGGCCTTGTTAAAGGGACCCTTACCATCCCTTACCTTTTTGGTTTGTTTGCTTTTTTACTCATATTTCCTTTTCCTGCTTTTGAGAAACCTATTTGGTACATGAGGCGAGCAGCTCCAACACCACAGTGGCTTTTCTGGATTCATTGCGTTCGCCCAAGAGTGAGCTCCAACAGGACCAGAGAGTCTGAACAAACTGCCTCTGAAAAGTCAGAGCTGCTGGGAGCGACCGGACGCTACTAGGAGCAAAGGGCATCGCTACTAGGAGCGATCGGACGCTAATAGCGATGGCCTCCACCCCTGGAGCGATGGCCTCCAACCTAATAGCGCTACAAATTACTTAGAGTCTTTAAGTCTTTGTCAGCTTTTGATTCAAGTTCCTGCCGAAGAGACACTCCGACCCTATTGGAGCTCCTTGCCGCTTGACCTGCAGGAGGCCGTGATTCAGAAGCTTCGGGACTACCTGGAATGTGAGTGGCGTGTTTGCGGCGCGCTCGGCACCTTTCAGCCTTCGAGGGTGCAGGCCACACCTCTTCCAAACATCGGGCTCCATGGGAGACAATTAGATATCAAATATCAACATCTTCGCCATAAAGCCATGTAAAACCATTTCATTGTTTGGCAACCAGGCTTGTTGCGGGGGGGATGCCATGAGATGTGCTTCGCTTTCCAGGCAGTCTCCATCGAGGTGCCCCAGCAATCCAACAGCTTTGACTGTGGAATTTTTGCCACCTTCCCAGAACGCCTTACAGAGACACTAAATCCTGTGCGTGAAAGTTGAATGACGTTGAAATCATTTCTCCCCACACACTGTGCCCAAAAGCGGGGTACCTCTACTTGGCTGCGTTGCCTAGGTTTTGGAGTTTGTGCTACTTGGCCTTGCGCATTAGTGGGCGAGCAAAGTCTATGGCAAGACTCTAAAATAGTAAAAAGGCCATGGCATGAGTATTGTTCGAGAAGACAGAGATCCTGAACTTAGTGTGCAGCCAGAGACCCATCAGTCTGAGGCTACAGTTGCTTCAGGATCCTTGGCGTTTAGCATCTTTGGGCCGAAGTGGCCACAGTCCGCTTTTCAAGGCCCAGCATGTTTTGGCCAAGTGCATGCCAATGGGTCAGAAAACAATGTACATTGTTAGAAGCATACCAAATGACCAACTATGCGCAGTCATCTACAAGGTCAGTTCCAGACCAGTAAAGTTTTTGGATCACCACCTTTGATCGCAGGTTTGTGCAGCCAGGGCCTCAGTGTGGACCAGGCAATGCATCTAATCTATGTTTATCAATCTCACCCATGACAACTCCTTAGACTAAGTGATAGGTTTTTCGAATGCTCCTAGTAGCTTAAGTTGTGGGTGTCAATTCCTGTTGTTGTATTATGTTGCATTACTCATGGCAGCTCTGACAGTCCAGGAACCTCGAAGGCGTTGGCGCGAAGCAGCTCTCAAACTCTTCCTTGTTTTGAAGAAGGCAGCTCCAGCAGGTGGGATTCTAAAAGGATATATAGATGTCTTTTTCGTCTACTAGGAGCAAGGATGAGCAAGGACGCTACTAGGAGCAAAGGGCATCGCTACTAGGACGCCACTAGTGGCTCCTGGCCTTACTACTAGTAACAAGAACGCTAGAGGGGCAGATTCTCGATTTTCTGAGCCTGCGACAGCCTGCGTCCTTGCTCCTTTCCAGGTGCCGAACCATCCCCAATTGCAGTGCTTTGCTTGGTTAGTGCGACACTGACTCACGAATTCGCCACATTGCCTCACATCCGGCCACTGCTGGCATTGGACAATGGAATATACTGTAGTCAATGTGGAGTCACTATGGTCATAGTTCTATTTCATTTTGCTTGATGCTGCGAGGCGTGGCTTTGGTTGCAAGACCTGTCCAAGGACAGGACAATCTGTTGAAAGACTTTGTTCTACAGACATTGTTCCTTCAAAGAGCTCCCGAAAGGCTGTGTGCTTGACGCAGCGCACTCGACGCACTCGACGTAGAACTCCAGACTGACCGACCGAATTCGTGCAAACCCACTCCAACGGCGGAAGGCTGTGCCATGCTGGGCCTTCTTGCAATCACTCAAATCCCAGGGCTTATGGCGCTTGAAGCCTGGCTCACACTACCAGTAGTGTGCAACTTTCACCAATCTCCCCTTCAGGGGTGCCAATGCAAAGGATGTTCGCATAAAATGACCTAATGTTGATGCGATTCAGGATCTTAGTGCCATATTTGTTATTTTGACATGTTTTGAATCTCGCAGGGGCACTGGCTGAAGGGCTAAGGACAACACAGGGGCGACTTTGTGCCAAGAAAAGGGTCTATCCAGGCTGTTTGGGTTGACCGGGTTGCGCACCCAGTTCTTTGTGCTGTGATTCAACGGGGATGGAATACGAGAACAAGGCCGCCGGGCCTGGCCAACGTTAGGAGCCATCACCTGTTTGCTGTACATCCAATACTCTTTTTTTCCGCAACACAGGGGTGTGTCATGTCCAGCATCCATGCTTGTGAGAGATTGTAGATACTGTATTGGTGTGCTAAACGATCGTGGCACTGAATTCAAGCTTTGATGCACAAGTTGACGAGAGCTATATATCTGAAGCAAACTGAACCCCCCCACAGCTTTGCAGCGGAACCCCAAAATTAAAATGTCGACATGGAACAGAGGCGCAAGTTGAAGCAACGGATGCTGTAGGCACACGGCGGAGGCATTCCCCAGTTGGGTAACATTCCACAGGTTCATGCTCTGAGAACATGCCAGACATCGGAGCAGCCATGCCAGTTTTGGACGCCTGGTTCCTTAAGGACTTCATGATGTGGAAGCAAGCCTTTACGTGCAGTACCAATATGCAGACAAGAGAACGACGATAGAGAACCTAGGAACCCTAGAGTCATAGAGTGTTCTTGAGTGTTCTATCTCTTCATTGACAAGAGAGCCAAGGCTGTGCCGATCTCGTCAGGCTCGCTCTGTTGCGCTTGTCGTTCGGACATTTTTGGCACCTCTACGAGTAGCGATGCCCTTTCTTCCTAGTAGCTTCTTGCTCCCAGTGTTAGGGGCCAGGAGCCCCTAGTAGTATGCCAGGAGCCCTAGTCGCTTCTTTTTGGGCCTTGATGCAATCACTGCAATTACTTGGCTCCACTTAGTTTGATCACTCAAGTAATGGATTTGACAGCATAGAAGCCTCCTAGCAACTCCTAAAGAACATGCGAAACGTGTAAATAGACACGTCTGCATACATATTATACATGCACCGACGCAGGCAATCTCTCCCTATATGACAATTTTTTGCGGCACTTGAAGCGTGGCTAGGATGCGACATGACATGACAACTAATGTGCCTATCGCATCCACTGGCCTTGGGCCAGTGGCCGAGGGATTTTTTCATGCAATGTTTTTACTTCAAGAGCTATGACCCAAGATTCTGGGAGCTTCGCTTTCAAGCAGCTTGGATGCCTTTCCAGTGGAGAACTCATCGTTTGGCTGGCTTGCCTGTTGGCCTAGAACCACGAGCACATGTGCTTTTCTCTTCATGTTCAATTCTTTTTTCTCTTCTGACTTCTCCAAGGTCTGACTGAGCAGGATAGTTTTTCCACCTCTCTTCTTCATCGAACATATTGACATGCCTTCCTCAAAAATGCAAGCACTGGAAAGCGCTTCTTCTCAAAAGACGCTTTTTGGCTTCGGGCCAAGGCAGCGAAGGCTCCTCACGAAGCGCGGTTGCTGGTCGGGCCGCACCGTGACCAGATGGTGTCAGGCCCCGTGGCGACACGTCCATGACGAAGTGACGCACCTCTGGACGACTTGACATGACTTGACCAAATTCTTGATGTTCTTCAGCATACGGAGATAAGGAGTCAGGAAAGATCCCAAGCCCTAGCCACGTAATTGCACCCTTTGATTCACCAGGCTTTATATTTAGTATATATTATACATATAATATATATATAGTTGTAACGTGACAGCGCACATGTCGGACACTTTCAAATGCTTCCCTTGTCTTGGTGTGTTTCACTGTACCTAGATGTTGAATGCCGCATGACGGTTTGAGACATAGACATTTGTCTTGAGATATGAGCCATGACTTCTTTTTCAGAGAACTCCGTCACTTCAGCCTCATTTGTATTATGAAATCTCAGACCTAGGTGGAGCGTGTGATTCGGCGGCACGCAGCGGAGAAGGGAAACCTAGACTCGAAACGGGCCAGATGGCGGGATTTTGCAACCTTTTCCAGGCGCTTAAGCTTTCTGACAAAACCTCACGAGTTCTGCATGTCGAGTGGTTATTGGCATCTTGATTCTGTACTGCCGTATGTTGTACGCAAGTGACCATGTTCGACCCAAGAACAACTAAGGATGAGTTGGTCTACTATGCCACGAAGGACTCCAAGTTCCCACGTGGACGCGTAAGCCTGGCAGAATGCACCATTGGCGGCTTTGCTATATTTAGTTGGAAGTTGCAAATGTAAACAATCCGAAAATCCGACGTGTAGCAATGTTATTGTGTGAGATTCAAATGAACCCCATGCCAACTACAGACTCGAGCTAAGAACATAGAGCGAGGCGGCTACACGTTGCGGGTGGTTCCTCAAGTGGAAGTAGTCGATACTGCCAGACAAGGCAGCAGCAGCAGCAGCAGCAGCAGCAGCGCAATACGTGTGGCGGGAGGGCCTTGACAGTAGGGAAGTACAAAATCGACGGATACGTGTGGAATTACGAACAATCTCAGCGAACTTTAAACCAAACTCATGATGTGCAGGCCTCCATGCAGGGATGCGGTATCTAGAGACGACCCACCCTTGAAGTTCGTTATGTCACAGCAAGACAGGAGTTTTCTAAACTGTCAGGGGCAAAGACTTACAGAATTGACCAAATTGTGAGGTCAAGATGATGATCAGATGGAGGTGTGGTCGAAGGCGGAAGTATCCAGCTTAGAATTGGCACTGTGCTGGTTGAACTCAATGGCAAAAACATGCGAGCAGCAAACACGCATGGAACAGCGAGGGCACATGAAGGGACAGGTATGACGAAAGTCTGACTCCTAAGGCGGCGACGCAGACCACCTTGCTATTAGTCCGCCCTGGAAAAGGTCCTTTGCTCATCAAGAGTGCCTTTCCGGAGGACGTCTTTGTCAAACAATATATTATTTGCAGAAGATGCGTTTCAGGCATCAAAGATACTCTATAATACTCTACGTATATGATTTTCATGACACTAACATGTGCTCGGTGGTTGTTGAATGACTTGAATCAGTGAAAATGACGACCATCCAGCTGCAGGTCTGCAAGAGTATTTCTATGTCAAACAGTTGGTGAGCATTTATATCACATGTTCCTTGCATCCATCTGCGAAATACATTCTCCGTCAGGAGATCTCCTTGCTGGCGGCGCTCATCCAGCGCCGACATGCACCAGAGCCTCCGGCGCCACTGCCCGCGGAGGAGACTTCGCCGGAGGTGCCGGCGTCGCACGCGGCATCGGAGCTGCTCACCTCGGCGATGCAGACGCGGACGACGTCGCGTGACGCGGACCCACGCGGGCGGACAGAGCGGAGAATGGAGCGGACGCAGCAGACGGAGCGGGTGATCAGTAGGAGCTCCGATTGGTCAGCGCAAGTGGCTGAAGAGTTGGAACCACCTACCTTGTCTCACAGCAGCAGCTCCCGTTCTACTGGATTGAGGCAATCTCAAGCTGACTCTTTTCGTGCAGTGGTTGAAAGCTTAGGCTCGAAACTTGCATACCGGAAGGCCATGGACCTAATGTGGAACTATGACCTGGAAGCAGCTTCGGTCCTCTTGGCGCCATGGCAAAGTTCCAATTTGTGGCATGCCAGTGGGGCTGCGGAGTGCTTCATGCTCAGGACAATCTTAACAGGACGGAAGAGCGATGCTTTGTCTACCCTTGAGCTCATCAAAGTCGCGGAGGCGCTCAGCGAGGGCGTTGGAAGCACTGGAAGCACTTTAGCCCATGAAGTTTGCAATGCGGAATTGCTTTTGATGCGGAGTTTGCTACAAATCATCCTGGGATTTCGGTTTCGCGCTCTGTACAATCTGCGGCAATGTTGGTATGCCTATTACCGCTTGGAACAATTCCTAGAGGATGATGCAAGCATGAGGGCTTGCACAGAAGACGTTGACTGCGTCATGACCTACGATGACTTGAGAGGGCGAATCCTGTTTGGCCTGGGCTTCTTCTACATGGCTACCTCACTGGTTCCTACGAGTCTTGTGCCACTTGTGCGTTTGGCTGGCTTTCTCATGCACCGCCAGCGTGGCAAGACTTACTTGTTCGAGTGTGTGGAACGCGCCCTTGGGTCCCGCTGTTCCATTGCGGCTATTCTGCTTGCTATGTACCACCTCGACTTGGAGCCTGCCACTTGGCATGGGTTGGGCTCGGGCGTGCAGCTTCTGCAAAGCATGTTTTCTAATGTCCTTTGCTTTCAATTCTTTTTGGGCCTATGGAATCCTATGGACTTGTAGAAAGTTGGCATTTACATTTTGCATCACTGCATTTGGCCAACGGCTCGAGAACCGAAGCCGTGCGTGCGCTGCATGTGTCGAATGCCGTGAGCCAATGGCGGAAGATAGTGCAGTAGATGCGGCTGGCCCAGCGGAAGGAACTGACGCAGCTGACAAGGCACATGGAACAAATGGAGATTCAAAAACCCATGGAACCTCCGAGCTTCATATTGGCCGTGTGAAGAGCTACAACTTTGCCCGCGGCTTTGGTTTCTTGGAATGTCCCGAGCTTCATGGATTGTACAGCCGAGACATCTTCATGCGTGCTGAGGCGGTGGAAGAGCTCACCTTGAGCCGCATTGCCAGTGGTTCTGGACCTGAAGCTGTGAAGCAACGGGGTAACATCTTTGTATGCTTCAGTCTGTTGGTGAATGAGGCGGGGAATCCAGAGGCGCAGAATGTCGTGGAGGTGAAGTTGTCTGAAGTCCCTGAAGAGCTCCACCAACAATTCCCAGAACCCGAAGAGAAAGAACCGAAAGAACCGAAAGCCAAGCCAAAGGCGAAAGCCGGATACAAGGGTGACGCCGAGGTCAAGGAGAAGGAGACCAAGAAGTCCAAGGACAAGAAAAAGGGAAAGCTTGAAGGCCTACGAGTGGGTGAAAGTCGAGTTGTCATTGGTCAAGATGCTCAGGACAACTGGAACATACTATCAGCCGCAAAGGGGAAGCATTG